TTTAATTAAATTTTCGGAAATAGTCATTGATGATTTTTGGGTCATTTGCATAGGCTCGCTGTTACTCAAGATTTCTACTATAGCGTGATGCTATATCTCTATAACAGTTTAAAAATCTGCTTAGCCAGTTCTTTCCTAGGCCATCAGTGCCTCCAAGTCCTTGTATCCCTATCAATCCCTCTTTTTTCTTTCCAACCAACATTCTCGCCATTCCTTTCACCATGTCAAGTCGCAAAGGAAAGCCCCAGTCATCCAATCTCTTTATCCACCGAACAAGTGCACACTCTTCCACCACTATTAATAGTTGTTGATTAACATGGGCCTTCTGCCTAGATACCCGTTCTCCACTCATACGGTATGCAAGTGTGGATTTTGGCAAATCAAAGGCAACTGCTGTTGCTGAGATGGATGGATAGTTTCCTTTATGAAAGGTGGCAATTGCATTTGTGATCTGCTTTTCCCGAAGATCCTGAGGGCGGTTCTTTACTCGAGGCATGATGTGATTAGGAAAGGGTATCTGGATGAGGTTGGCGAGCCTTAGTACTGTGAGGGTGATGACACTGATCAACCTTTTATAATTTTCCACTTATGTGAAGAAAAAAGTCAAATTTACCCCACTTTCAGCCTCCGGTAACACCTTACCACTACATATTTTCACTTCCATAAACCTGCAGGAACAACAACTAGTTTCAAGACTCTCTTTTCATATATCTATCACCTATTTTAATTCAGTTCATTGTCACGAACGTGGCTTAGCATGGAAAAGGTTTTCACATGACACATAGTTATGAGTCACAAGTATGTTATTGTTTTTGCGCATATGACTCATTCGGGTCAGATGATTTGTTATGTGTGGGATTTGTGATGCTTTCACACATGGCTCAAGTATGAGTCATGGGATGGGCGCCTGGCGAGTATGCCTTGCGAGTATGCCTTGAGGGTAAGCCTTGCGCATATGATTTATGTTTGGCACATGACCTCATTATGAGGTCATAGGTTTCGCACATATGACTCAGTTGAGTCATATGACTTGTTGATTACATTATGATTAGTTTATGAGTTTTTATACATGACCTCGCTAGGAGGTCATGGGTTTTGAGCATGTGATCACTTCGGTCACATGACTAGTTTGTTATGATTTGGTTTCGCACATGTGACCACTTTAGGTCACATGATTACAGGCGGGAAGAATACTATATAAGGAGGCCAATGCAGCCGAGGAAGATAGGTTCTTCATGCTTTGTTCTAAGTACTTTTCCTACTTATTACTTTAACGAATATAAAACACCTTTACGATCTTTATCTTTATTACAACGATATCATTACGCCAAGAAAAGCTCTTCATGCAGAAGAGTTAGAGAAAGCTTACGATAGGCATTCCCGATAGAAGACAGAGGTCTTGTACTATCGGTAACGAAGGCATAGGCCTAGTGCTATCGTAAGACGAAGAAAGAAAAAGAAAGAGAAGAGAAGTATCGTTCCCCGTTGCCAAGAACTAACCATCCTAGGAGGGATCGTTACATTCATATGCATTTACCCCGCTTTCCCCTGCCTGTTCTCTAATCCACTTGCTTTCAGCACTGATGGATGTCCCATGGAACAGCAATAGGCACCACCCTCCCATTGACACCACATTTGGATTCTCCTCCTTCAGCGCTTTCATTCAGTATGCTTTTCAAGTCTCTGACATCAATATTGGGTGACCTACATGATAAGAACATATGTTGACATTGAAGTAGTTGGCCGTCCCGCATCCGTGCGCCGTCCCGCTTGGCGGTGCCGTACGTTAAATGCTAAACCGCCCCCGCCAGACTACTCGTATATCCCGGGGCGCAAAAAATGCCCAATTTATTCCATCTCCCCAAGCCATCCGCGAGAAGTGCTGAATTGTGTTTTTTTAGCAAGTGATGAGATACTCGTATGAAAACCTGGTTACGTTATGTAAACCGTACAGTACATGACCTAATCACCGTCCATACACTAGTAGTGATTTTAAAATTGGTGCTACACATGTGTTGCAAACAGTTACCCGCCCCGCTAACATGGGCTGGCATGAGTAACATTGCCTTTCTTCCAGCCAGACTACGATACCCTCAGGCTTTGGCTTCCCTCTCTCCGGCTGCTTTAACGATAGACTCAATCTGGTGACCCAGCCACTTTATATTACCCACGCCCAGGTATCCTCACCAATGAAACCACCATCACATCGTCCAGTAAACCAGCTAAAGTGCCCGACACTAAAAAGCCGGCCCTCTTGGTCATTCTCTTTCGCCCAGCAAAAGAGCAGCGCCCCGGCAGAAATTTGTACATGTACTTGTCCCCCTTCCAGATGCTCCTCCTACAGCTCTCAACCGATACTCATTGTCTCATATCATGAACAATAAATTGGAGATCGAGGGTAAAGTAATATGAAGAACATATAAAACGGTATTGATTGAGGAAAGAAAGCGAATTGCTTGCCTGTACGGTACCTTTCCAATGATGGATACACCTGAAGCTATCCTACTTGCACTGTAGTAACCAGCAACGGCTCTGTATCAGCAGGACTCTGATGTCCCAACTGGTACGGCAGGTGTCCGTGCATATTCGTGAATTCCATCACATTGAAGTCATCCAACCAACACTCACGTTATCAAGAAAACAGAGTTCAGATAATTAAAACGGCCCCCCATCCGTTGTTGGATTTGCTATCATAGTCGCGAGGGTCGATCTTGGACCCACGGGGCTGGATCAAACTCGAAGAAACCACAGCAGATTAGATGACTATGGTACTGTAGATGATGAGGCACTCAAAGATTGGCATGTAGATTGGCTCGACGGCCGTGACACTGCCACCAGACGAGTATGATAGTATTTATCAAGCCACGGGCCGTGGCCAGCCAGCCCGGCCTCACCCAAAGACGCCGTACGGGGGCGGGGGGGAGGTAACCTTTTTCCTGGGTGTTTCAACCATTCCCGGTAGGGCGGAGATCTGGTCTGGGGAGTATGGTATGATATGATACGCGGAGGTGGATGTTACTCGTAGCTATGGGATAGACAGGGGTTTGAAGTCCCCACCTTTTCTATTTTTACGATAATATTGTGTGTTGACAAAATTAACCACGATTCAACAATCGGTGGCAACCCATCCCTCTTCATCACCCCGCACTCTCAACAATACCTAAAAAAATTGCTCTAAGTCAAACAAGAAGAAACCATTCTGCTCAATTCCTTTTTTCAATAAACTATGCCTCCTATTCTTCACAGTCATGCCAAAAAACCTATTCCCTCTACACATCTCTCTGAGTTTACAAGGAGGAAGATTGTCAGGTTATATGAGTCTCAGATGAGATATCGGCAAATTTCCCACTACCTTAATATCCTCTATACAACTGTCAGAAAAACAATTACATAAGGACATCAAGAGGGCAAGGAGAATAAGGGTAGAGGAAGACATCCCAAAACTACCAAGTCACAGGATGATACTATGGTGGAGGAAGCTCTTAAAAATCACCATACTACCTATTCTGATATTGCTGAGCAAGTTGCTCCCAATGTTTCTAGTAGGACAATAAGGAGAACACTTGAAAAAAAGCACCTTAGAAAGTGGATGGCATAAGAGAGAGTTCATTTAGATGAGGATCTAACTCTAGAAAGGTTGGAATAGGCATTAGCTCATAGGTATTGGACAAAGGAGATGTAGAGAAGAAAGGTAATATGGGGGAATGAGGTAGCTGTAGAAAGGGGAGAAGGAAAGAGGAGAAAATGTGTTTTCAGATACCCATATGAGAAAGGGAATAAGAATTGTGTTGAACCTAAGGCAAGGAGAGAGGAGAGAGGGATTAGCCAGATGATGACTGGTTGTTTTTATAGTTAAACTCATGGTTTTTTTTGCCTATTTTTCCTGATCCTTCTTCTGCTAGGGATAGAGTTACTGGGAAGTCAATTATGGATATTTATGATCATTATGACTTTCTAGGCATATGGGAAAATACCAGAGAAAAGGCTGGAGAAGAATAGGTATTTTTTATCATTGACAATGCTAAGACTCACTTGCCTTTTAGGAAATAGCTCAGAAGGCAGGGAATTACACTGATGGAAATTCCTGCCTATTTACCAGATCTCAATTCAATTGAAAATATTTGGTCTCTGGTGAAAGGTAAGCTTCACAAGTACTACCCTGAGCTTTATCTTATGAAGGATGATGTCAATGTAGTCAAGAAGGCAATAGTAGAGGCCACCACTCATTGTTATGAACTTCTTAACCCAAAGGTTTTTGATACTTTAGCTAGATCAGTGGTGGATAGAATAGAGGCAATTATTAAGGCTGACGGGTGGTATACCAAATATTAATTTCTACTATGTATTTACATCTTTTAATTTTTTTTTAGTTTTCATGATAGTGGATTGGTGGGTGAGTGTGGTTGTCATCGCCAAAGATTTTCCTCTGTTGAATCATGGTTAATTTTGTCTCTGCACAATATATTAGGGAAAAAATATTTTATAAAAGTAATTACTTGTATATTTTATTACATTAATAACTTCGAAACTTGGGTGGGAGTTAGATCCGGTTTCTATCTTGTTCAGAGAATATTAATTTTTATTAAAATACTTGTTACTAACACCTTGCCAGGAAACTCCATTCCCTTAAATTAGTTATTAAATTTTTCTTAAAATTTCTATTTCTCCCTATTTTGTTATGACTGTAATATTTCAATTTACCTTTTTGTGTCATCCGCGGGGGAGATAAACAAGATATTTAAAAGTATTTAGGAAGATTAGGGGCCTACGGCGGAGTCCTTATTAGAAATTAAAATGCTAATCTTTTTGACTTTGAATACCGTTACTGGAGCATCATCTTCTCAACTTTGGATACCACCGGTAGGGTAACGTTTGTGAACCGGAATTGCTGCGGCAAAATTTTTTCGTCATGGGTTGACGTCTGGGTGTTTGTACTGGGGTGATGTTTGGTTGGCCACCATCGTCATCTCTTTCCCTCGCCTGTCCTGTTCCCCTCCTCTGTTCTTCTTTCTTTCCCCCCTCCCTTTGAAAGACTACGAAAAGGCTTCCTATCCGTAGTGCTTGCCATGAGCTGGGAAGCTCTAGGCTTAAGGCTCGAGCCCATTGAGCTGACTTACTCTCCGCGCCGATCCAACTTGAGTTTGTCTAAACTTGGCTCAGGTTATGAGAAGTCGAGGATTGGGAAATTAAGTTAAATGCATAGGAGAACTGCAAATAAAGGACGATCAGGTCTTCTACGAAAATACAGCCTACAATTCATTTCCTTTTTTCCCCTCTTTACATTTTCTACTTTAAATACCATTTTCTCTCCTCAGATTTCTACGGTATAGCTCCACCTTCAACCACGCTAAGCTAGTGTCAGTGATATCCTACGCCTGCTAACAAATGCAGGCTCCAGCCAGCTCAGGCTCGAGCTTCATAAGAATTCTCAAGCACCTCGAGTCCATTTCCTTGCGAGTCAAGCCGGCTCGAGTCCACCATGATAGAGTATGGTTCGACTCGAGCCGGCACCTGACAAACACTACCTATCCATTTTGAGTCTTTGTGCGCACTCCCGCAATTAGCCATCCAAGATGTTGTAGGGGAGTTCTCAGACCTTAGGCCCTCAAAGGAGAATATAGGTCCCTCCCCTGGGCGGTGAAGGAGTTTGCTAGTTCCTCCACGACTAGCATTCGTCTTATACCGTACGAACTCGAATAATTGAACCTCACTCTAAGACGTCCGAAAGCTCCTCTCCCCCGGATAAGGGGTGAAAACACTGCGAAACGTGACCCCCGGGGCCCCAGTTTAAGACTGGGAAAAAGTAATGGAATAGCCTCACCTTACCAGCAAAGGCAACTCCAATGTCCCAGCTCCAGGTTCAATTATCCGAGTAATACGGTATGTAACCCGATATACTACTAGTGACTAAACTAATAATCACTGTGACAGCAGGACCAGATAACAGAGCTGGACCAGCGGATTCTTGGACAGTCGAAGGGTTTTCTTTCACATATCCCAAGTTAGCTTACAGTCTACTTATCTTGGTTATAGGAGTTGGGAGCCTTGATAACGAGGGTGGAGACGGGTCTTCGCGAATCGAGAACCCGATTACTTCCATCCAATGGCAGATTAGATGGAAGTATGGCTTCACCTCGAGTAATGCCGATATATCTGTCACGTGCCTTATCTGGATACATTGCACAAGGAGGTTCAACCAGGTCTTTCTTCCCACCATGCTTCGCGTGACGGATATAACTATCGGCCACACTTGTCAACTCATTCCGGAGAAATTGGCTAACTGTACGTAAATTCAAACCACGTTAGAGCCGAGAGTCTTTCGCTTGAGAGAGAACTTCCTACAAACAACACAATTGGTGTTGACAACTCTGCTAGGACACCGGAAAAACACAGAGCCATATTGGGAAGATACAAGGTGACCTAGGAACCGTGAATTGGTCTGTACTCAGGACCTCACGCTCACGCTGATTGGGGCGATAGTATCGCCACTTGAGGAAGAGACCGATAAACTCCTCCGGACACCATAAATTACATTAGCCAGGTCACCATTGAGCGACTGAAGCCTAGTTTTCCGAAGACCGGAGGACAAAATACGCACTAAAAGGTCCTGAAACTCGGGAACGAACGACGAGACGCCAGTGGTCTTGAGGGAGGGGTGAGTGACCCAAAAAAGGCTTCTTAATCATTTAGACACCAACAATACTTTTACAGTCCCTAGCGGTGGTGATGATTGCATCCAGGGTAAGCGGTAGATCAATTCCAGTCAGTTCCAATTATGCATACTAATTGTCACTTGCACAACAGGGGGCCCGGGCAAGGGGGAGGCATGAGTCTCTCGATGGGGACACGTGGGTGGGGGCCGGTTTTTTGTTTGTTTTTTTAAGAGGGAATAATATAATTGCCCCCGCGACGTTTTTCAATAAGTGTGAAGTAACACTACTGGTACTGTAAGTTAGTGAATTGTTCGGACCCTGTAACCGTTCCAAACAGCTCAACATCATCCAGTCACCGCGTCGACGGATTCCCGACGCCCCCAGCGCAAAAAAAGAAGTCCTCACGTAGGACATGTTTATTATCCCCGCCGGGAGAAAGGAGTGATGGCAAGGTCACTCCCACTATTTCTTGTCTTCTACCCTAGCGAGTGATGCTGCATGACCTTATTCGGCGCAGTAGTAGAGTACACGTATTAGTACAGTTCATTGCTGAAGATGTGAAGATGGTAAACGTATATTGCACTGCACTATACTAGAGAAATCCGTTTTCATCGCGTCATTGATTTCGTTCTTTGGTTGCACCCAGGCTATGTAATGTAATTGCGGCGCCTATGTTCAAGTCGTTGTCTATGATATGCATACCGTCCGTCTGAAACAAAGGATGAGCGAGGAAAGACACGAACAACCACAACAAACCCATGGTGCATCAAGAGAAAAAGGAGAAAGAAAGAGAAGAGTGAGACGAAGGAAAGAAAAAAAAAGCCAATTATCATCCATCCATCATCCAACCAATCCATAGCCCTGGTACAAGAAATACATCAAGAAAAACGCCGGAAATGCAACCCAACCAAACCCGAGCAAGCAAGCAAGGAAGTCAAGACCTCTCCCGCTCCTGTTCCCACCCTGCACTGACAAAGACCTCCCCATCCTCTTCCATAACCTTCCCGCGATCCCACTCCCTAACGCCCCCCCTCACCCCCCATCTGATCCCCTCAATATCCTCCTCTCCCCCTGTCCTACTCTTCTCCCAAGTGCGTATAAACTCCTCCTTGAACCCCGCGACCCTCAACCGCTCCGCGCCCAGGCTTTTCCATCTCTGCCGATCGCGGTAGGCTTCGAGTGCTGTATCCCAGTCATCATCGTCGGAGGGGAGGTTGGAGGGGGGGTGGAATAGAGAGTCTTGGGTTGGGTCGTAAGCGGAATCGAAGTGCGCGTCCATGGGGTTTCGACCATTGGTGCTGGTGGTGCCACCGCGACCGCGGGCGGGTGGTGGGGGGGGTTGTGGGCCTATTAGCTCTTCTTGGTATTCGTCGGCAAGGGGGGCGGGGGAGAGCCGTTTGGTTTTGGAGGTACTGCTGCGGTGATGGTGATGGCGCCGGCGGTGGTGAGAATGGTGGCGGTGATGTCGGCGCGGGGACTGAGACCGAGACCGAGAACGAGACTGGGAACGAGAACGAGACCGAGACCGAGGCCGACGATGATGACGATGTCTATGCCTCCGAGCCCTTGCACTCGAGTGTCTATCCTCCCTCTCCTCCTCCTCCCTCTCCCTCCTCCTCCTTCTCCTCCTACTCCCACTCCTGCTCCTACTCCTACTCCTACTCCTGCTCCTGCTCCTGCTCCTGCTCCTATACCTCTCCCTCCTCCTCTCCCTCTCCCTTCCCCTCTCCCTTCCCCTTGCCCTAGCCCTCTCCTTCTCCCTCTCCCTCTCCCTCTTTCGAGACCTAGACCGCCGCCGCTGCTCCCTCGCCAGCAACGCAGCATTATGCGAATCCACCTCCCGCACAATGTTCCGCAGAAATCGCGTATTCGGCTTTGGCGCGCCCGCTCTGCCTACCCTGCTGAGGCGCGAACTCTGCTCTGCGGCTTCTTTCTCTAGCAGCTGGGCGATATAATTATCTGCAAAGTCGGTGGGAAGTTTCATGGTGGCTGCAGTGGTGGTGGTGTTGTTGTTGTTGTTACTATTTTTGTTGTTCTTGTTGTCGTTGTCGCCGTAGAAGAATGAATGGGGTGGGGAAGGGATGGGGTGAAGGTTGCAGTGGTGGCTCGCCTACTCGCTCGCGACGGGAAAGTGAAAAGGACGAGGGAAGGTCCAGTTGGTTTTCTCTTGGCGGCGAGATATACTCGGCTTGGCCCGGCTTGGCGATTGTATTGTCCAGTAGAGTAACAGGCCTCACATCGGGTCACTCACTCACCCAATCATCAAACCCCTCACCTCACCAATCCTCTCTCTCTGTTGGTATGATATGTATGGAAGGAAAGAAGGAAGGAAAGAGGGGTCACAGCCTTGCTTCCGCTGCTGCTGCTGTGCTGACCCTGTTTGCTGTCCGCAGCACACGCCTACCCACCGCGCCGGGGAACTATCACTGCTGATCACGCGCTATCCGACACCTTATCCACCTGCCTATCTTCCCACCGGTACTTGTACTGTGCTCGAGTACCTATCCATTTATCTATCCATTGCTCAGACCTCGAATTGGCCGCTCCAGCCATAATTCACTTGCCGAAGAGTGGGATGAGGGGGGACATTATACTCGTACTAGTTATTCATCACTCATTGATTCATTTATTCACACCTGCAGCATCCCAGCTATGTTATTGTATTGTTATTAAAAATTCATGGCCATTTCAGCAAGTGCGCACGAACGCAGCGTGACATAACTCCTAGATATATAATAATATTATTATCTCCTCTGTTCTGCTCTGGCCAAGCTCGAACATTCCACATACATATATGCACACAATCAAGATGTTGAACCAGGATAATATGCTAGGTAGATAGGCAGGAAGCGATTCACTGGCCTATCATACAAGTCGTTGTAATTCATCTTAGCGAGTGAAAAAAAAAAAAGGGAAGGATGAGGAGAGGCGAAGAAATTGTAGAGGAAGAAATTGTAGAGGATTAAATAAGCATGCCAACGCCATACGAACAACGGATTATTCCGATAAAAAAGAAAGAAAGAAGAAAAGAAAAAAAGATCAACCCTCTAACTTGATGATATATATCGTTTTCAGGAAGGAAGTGGTACCAGCGCTGTACTCAAACCTCTTTATCGTTGAAGCGGATGCCCGGATACGGGTGTTCGTCACCGGCACTATACCGACGACCCCAATTTCTGGGCTGTCGACGAATGAATGCGCCGACGGAGCCTAGGTACCCTTCGTGTCTGAGGAAGTATGCCTTCTTTTCGCCCTTGGACCAGAATTTGATGGCGTAGGAGAGGGTGTTCATGGTTTGTTTGTGGCCTAAGGGGGTGTTAGTGGAAGACCCGGAATACCGGGGCCGCTAACAGTCGTACCTCGAATAAAGGAACCGCCAAAGTAGATGTGTTCAAGGCCATGGTTCTGGGCCTGAAGGTATGCAATTTGTCCAATGTTGTTACTAAGAATTGTCAGTCATGTCTTGAATCGGATGGTTATCGTCCCGTAACTCACCTGACTGCGTAGAGCAAACTCCGGCTGATGTCCTCGGGCTCGAAGCCTCTGTTCTTTCCGTTGGCGGTGGAGGGCTCCGGAGAGTATTCCGTCCCGGATTCTACCTGCTTCTTGAAAACCTTACCAAAACTACTGGCAATAGTGGAGGATTTCAAGCCTATCCGGCCGTATCCGCCACCATATATGTCACCTACAAGCATATCAACCTTGGCATTGTCGCCCTTTTCGGCCATCCCCAACATTTCTGCGCAGGCGCGATTAGTCCGTGTTATACTGGTGAGTTCAACGCTGGATAAGCTATACCATCAAACGATCTTGCCGATGTCAAAAGCGACAGAAGGCCCCACAGGGTCCCGCCACCAAGCTAACAAAAGTGAGCCGTTGCGCGATCCGAAAGCAGTGATGCTCGCAAGACACGGAGACGGAATACGTACCGATGAACCGCCAATCCTCTGAAACTGTTGAGGGCCCGAAACTTTGATCATGCTAACGCCGGAACCAATGTTCACCAGCTACAGCGACAAAAGGTTAGAAGCCATAAGGCAGCACACGAGAAGCGCTGAAATCACAAACCAAGTAGGGATAGATGTCTACTCGTCGCTCAGCGAATTGCATGGGGTCTTCTTCGCTGTATGTGAAAACCTCATCGGGAATCTCGGTGATGAAGAAATCAAGACCTGCGGACCAATTAGACTCAGCGTCGAAGCCGGATGAAGGTTGTCGCGGGCACGTGCGCGCGCTCACCAACTATCAAACATTCCATCTCATCTTCTCTATAGATCTCCACTCCTAATGCCTCCTTAATTTTGTCGTAGTATTTGTATGCGCCTCCCCCAGTGGCCATGATGTGCAGACGGTCCCTCTTGTTCACCATGCAATGGCCCTGTCCCGAGCGCTTTCCATTAACAAGACTATCCATGAAGCCAATCAAGTCGTCGATATACTCGGTTTCGAAATTCTTGAAGCTCAGCTTTCCACCCTGACCACTGGGATCTCGAGTGAAATAGACGCACTTTGCCAGTGAACCGCCAATCTATGAAAGATAGATGTGAGCGACCGATAGGGGCTAGGCAGAGCGGTATGTCTTACATCAACGGCAATGTGCGATACTCCAGCCTTGTGGTGCGGTAGACGGATGTCTTTGGTCTCGCTCGGTCCGGTAGAGCGTGGAGGAGAGCCGCTTCGAGGAGGGGTGGATGAATCGTCGTCCACTATAAAAGCTCCTTGCACATTAATCTACACTCCCCATTAGCAGTGGACAGTGAAGCAGTCCCGGATAAAGAACTCCACCCACACGAACTGAGCCGGGGCGATCCAATTGCTCGAATGCTTTATTCTTTCTCTGACTATTCGCGATTCCCTTTGGAGCAACATCAGACTGAGACTCGTCCGGTGAAATAGTGTCCATTGCGATTGTTTGTATGGTGTCTCCCGAGGGATCTCACCGCCTTTAAGATGGCAGCAGAGGACGGGCCAAGCCCCAGGGCCCTAGGGGACCGGGAAAGAGCTAAACGGTTGGGAGGATGGTTGGGGGATGGGTTGGGTAAGGTGGAAGGGTGTTTGCTCGCGCAACAATCCGGGTATGATAGCAGTTGGAGGCGTAGTTCCAGAGGCGCAAAACGGCACAGGTTGAACGGCTTAGCAAGGGACGAGGACAGAAACAGATGGAAGAAGGCGCGACTGGGGAAAACGGGTGTGGAGAAGTTGTAGTCATTTGACAGTTACTCTACCTTACCGTATTATTACCGGACTTTTGGAAGGAATGAGATGAGTAGGGACGAGGTTAGGGTTTTTCCTTTTCCTTTCAGGGAACAGAGTTGGGACGGACGGACGGACGGATGAACAGAAGCAAATTTTCCTTTTTCTTTTTTTTTTTTTTTTTTTTCTTAGCTGCACATTGCACAATTACTTCCCAAATTGGGTGGCACACATTTTCCCATCGGACCTTTGAAAGTTTTCGCACCCTAACCCTAACCCTAATAGATAATTCCACAGACAGCGAAAAGTGGATACGGAATAAGAGGGGCTGTACGAGATACAGATCATTTCTCAAGGTAATGGACCACTCACTATAACGTATGATATCCTGGACAAAGAATGCGCAACACGGCGAATCTCGCACCCTTTCCAGCGAACCATGAATCACGCATACCGGATTCTCGGAAAGCACCACCTCAACCACCCTTCGTTATAGCTTGGTAATCCTCTTTGTAGCGGAGCGGGAACCCTTACAAATCTCCCCCCACTAAACCCATGCCCAAGTTGCCTGATTTCGGAGCTGAGTTTTTTTTCTTTTCTTTTGGTGGCGGTAAAAGCAACTCGAGAAATAAACGCAGAAAATACTCGCATCCAAACATAAAACAACCCTCTAAGGCCCGGCCCCAACATGCAAGTATTGTAGGATGATGGCACTTCTACAAGTAAATGCAATGTTGCTTTAAGTTTCATGTCGGAAAGTCAGATGCACCGTGCTGACCGGGATTATGGACAGCAGCAGCAGCAGCAGCAGCATTACAGTACCCCGGCAGAGTTCAGGCCCCGATATCAGAAGCTCTTATTGCATTAAGATAAACCCTTCTCTCAGTTGGCCCGGAAGTTGTGAATTTTGTGGGCTCTCATGGGCAGCCCTTCTTTCACCTGCCGAATCAGCAGAACCCCCCCCCCTCAATCCCCCAGATAAGTCAATTTGGAAATGATGGTAAGCCAGGTTCTCAACACCTCGAACCATCTTCCCATTCCTCTTCCGTCCACCGGCGCCCCTACAGCAGGATTTATGCTCCCGAGAACCGCGGGTACCTTTTCCCCCCGAACCCAGAGAGAGAGATGAGAGCTCTTGGGAGATGAATTTATAAACACCCTCCAAAAAAAAAAAAAAAAGAAGAGAGAGAGAGAGAGGCATGATATGATAAAAGACAAAAAGTAACCACCACGCCTTCCAATCCTACCCACCAAATGTTGAACACCACGCACCGTGCCTCAAACCCGTGAGCCATGCCCATACTATACCACCCCATTCCAACCTAACGAATAGAATAGAAGAGGAGGGGAGGGAGAGGAGAAACCCTAACCTGATCTCCCCCTTCTATCACGCTGCGCACTCCAAAGTACGGTGCGGTGCGGTGTAGCACACGCCAGCCTTTTTGCAGCAATGGGGAAGGCGAAATACCAGAACTCAAAGTTTAGCCAGAGCTATATGGCGAGGAGGTTGATATAAAGTTGACCAAACCTTTCCCCCCTTCACCAAAACCCCGGGCTCCAACTACCAGCTCTGCAAGTTACCCCTGGGAGTCAGTTATCGGCCACGGTGCCATACATACGGTGCTCAAGTATTATCATACAGTGGAAGGAATCTATGACAGAGCGTTTTTACTGGTAGAAGTAACTCCGGCACATTTTCATGCTAAAATCCAGAAAATCAACCACCTATGAAAAAACGCTTCCTATCTTATCATGACTGCATTTACCAGCTTCCATATGATATGTGTAATTTCACTCCACCGCAATGGCGGTAATCCAGAAATTTAGAAAACACTGGAACGGTTTTTCAAAACAATATATCCCTTGGGAAGTGCTCTAGTACTGGGTCCTCCTCGTGCCAGGTTGTATTGGTGCTCGTACTTGTGCAGAGCCGTGGGCTTGGCCGGTTTTTGATATGGCAAGTACCATGATTAGAAGTGACGGGAAAGGGGGAATCAAGTAAGAATTACAGTAAAAAAAGAAAAAAAGAAAAGGTTCAGTTTCTGGCTTTCGGTGCCAAAGTTAATTGGAAGCTCACACTTCTCCTTTTCAGCCAAGTCTCAAGTTGATAGGGAGGCGCTGTGCCGTGCAAGCACTGTACCGTACTTTGGCTTACCCCATGTTCAAGTTACTGATACCGGCAGTCTGGTTCGTACTTTTCGCCTACGCTATCAGTATCGATTTTAGTGGGGGGGGAGAGGACTTGGGGAATTTGAACATCCTTTGTGATTTGCCATCTCCGACGTCCTCGAATCCCTACTTTGCAGTACTTGTACAGGTACTTGTATATTCGGAGACAACAACTCCCGACAAGGATTGGAACTTTCCCGGAACGGTGTAGCTCGAGGCCTGTAGACACGCTGGGCCTCATTAACCGGTACCCACGATTCTATAGTATCAACCTGTTAAACCACACCCGTCGTGGGCTAATGACCCGATAGCCAATTCCGAGAGATCCTGTGGCGTGCCGATAGACACGTTCAGGACACCGCGGAACAGCAGGAGTGGGACATGCACAATACCAGCAGCCGGTACTGCATGGTGTCTGGGAGAAAGGGTATACCGTAGTACCGGTGTCGGTGCTGTAGTCTCCACTTGAAGACCGGGAAAGAGAGTCTCTCACAATACGAGACCGAGACCACGACTACTGCTATCATACCCCATATATATTCGGTATCACCGATACCATAGCGATATGTGTCATTCTCCAGGGTTGGCCTTGCTCAGGTTTAGGGGTGGCGCCGCGCGCACCATACAGTACGGGAGGCTTCGCATCCAAGATGCCCCGCCAAGCTCCCGCCGTGCCGCCCCGCCCGGCTTGGCCACATGCAAGACGACATGGCATCAACATCACGTGATTCAAGATAAAACGCCAGTCTCAGATGCTCTTCATGCCATTGGCATGGACAGTATTATGATAGTACTCAGGATACGTGGTGGTGGAATAGTTTATTCAATGCCGCTGTCGGCCCGGCTATCTCATTCTTCTGGGCCGCGAAGGACGGAGTATCCTTACGAGTACAGTACCCGTACACTACAGAGGCCCCAGATAATACTTCTCGTCAGTTGCTCTTCTTCGTTTTGATGGGCTTCTGGGAGCCTGCGCTTCCGCCCCATCCGAGTAGGTAGATGCTCCGTGAGAGGAATAGGAATATCTTGAGAGATTGGTCAAACTTGTCGGGAGCAGGAAAATTTGGGAGAAGGATCTTACGGTGAAAGTGATATTTCCATGGGTGAGCAGATTCCATTGGGAGGGAGTGAAAAAGTAGTCCGCACCAACAGCAGTATAGGTGAGGTAGCTACCGTAGCCTCCAAGGACGACACGTCAGCCTCGCCTATCGCATTATCCAAACATTGGCCCGGGATACTCGAGCGAGGATACGAACACATGGCCAGCATCGCCGAGTAGCAATGCGAAAAGAAACCTTTTAGCGACGGATTCCTCCGTGGTGCTCCTGAGCACGGCGGTAGAACACATTGAGAGCAGCAGGTAGCAATTCGCCAGCTGCAGGATACTGGCCTTGACATTTGGAGAAACAGTGGCCATCTGTTCAGGGGCTAGAGGCCTGTTCAGCGAGAAAGGCTTCCGGAGACATCATGATGTACAGGAAGCCTGAAAGCCTTGGAGTCCTTCGTATCAGCATTCCCTCGAACGAGTGTCAAAAGGGCATGGTTGTACGTACGTGGAGATGGGTTCGATGATGACATAGATTAGATAGAAGAAGGGTGGAAGCTTGTACTCGTACATGTTGAGATATCATAGGCTTTTCACAAGGCGTCTTTATGGTTATGGGGCTTCGCTGGTAGACGGGGGCCGCGGGGTTCTACGGAGTATGAGTAGGGAGGGAGCAGGGTAGGGTAGGGGGAAGGGCTAATCCATGGAACTCACTGTATCATACTGTAATATCATAGTCTATCATACGGTACCTTGTGCTGGGGCGGGTGCGGGGGATCCGCATTCGGATGCGCGAGATGTGTGTGGGTGGGGGGGGCATGCCGTGAATCTGTTCCACCGGTATCATACCCGAACAGGTCCTTAAAAGCGTGATACTGTATTTGCCACAAATAATGGCAAAATAACTTAGCTTGGTCTCGTAAAGAGATATATGGGATGGTCTGGTTGAGTGTCGACAAAACGAATTCGACGGCGGTGGGAGTAGAAAAGCTGGGCTTCTTTGTACACTACTAGCAAGCTGCTTGGCGTTTGGGATGTTGGGGTATCGGTACCGTTATCATGTTCGAGGGTACGATATCATTGTCTATCATACTGTAGCGGCTGGAAGCAGATGGCTTTGCCGTGCTTGTGGAGAAGTGGCTTGATGTTGTGCGGCATTAATAGGAAACACTGTGCGCCTTGTGGGCGAATAACTTGTCGAGAAGGAGGGAGGGAGGAGGGTCCATTCTATATGCTCGCGATATCGGTGTCATTCCCGATTTGCGCGCTGGCTGGTCATCGAATACCTCGCCATATTACAGGTACTGTACTCTACTGTACGGTACGGTACAATAGCAGAGACTCTCACATCATATAATACCTTGCATCACGGGACACTGGTGGTGCTCGAGTGGTTATCTGCCAACATTTACCTTCCCACTGCCAACTCCTCACCTCCTCCCTCGTCAGGAAAAGTGGGTGTTGGGTGTGTGTGTGTGTGGGTGCAGGGTGCCTTCTTTCATTCCCATTCACCTTGTCCCGCAACCAAAAAACTTTTTTTGGTTGCACCACAGCGCAGCTCCCCCCATCGCTTAGTCAGGCGGTGGACAACCCTCTTCTTTCTTGGACCATTACGGACAAGCACCACTGTCCTTCTTCCTACACCCCCACAATCTCTAACACCGCCATCACTGCACCATTTTCCTCCATTCGTTTCCTCGCCCTGCACCCTACGTTCCGCCGACACTCAATTCGTCGCTTCCACCACCTCCACTCTGGTCATCATGGATATGACCAGGCACCTTTTGGCTGCTCTTAATCTGCCTCCAATCCGCGATGTCCCTCCGTTTCCTTTAGGATCTGACACCCAGTCTAGAGATCGCCCTCTCCCCCTCGAACCGTCGACTTCTCAAGACGCTTATAGCTCTTCGCAGTATCAACAGGGACGTAGGGAACCTAATCAACAGCAATCACAGCCACAGGCGCAACAATCCCCGCAGCAGCAGCAGCAGCAACAGCCACCGCATCTTCAACTCCATTCCCGGGAGTCGCCCAATGACCATTCGCGTCAAGAGCCACAAGCGGAGCCCATTCGAGACTCGATAAACGTCCGAATGAATGCCACGAAATCTACACCCACTGCGAAAGGGAAGGAAAAATCAAAGGATAGAGCAAAATCTAACAACGGCCGCCAAGACCAGATCACCACTCCAGGTGGTCGCTCGTACCCTACCCTACTTCCATCTGCTATGCCACCGTCCGAAGTTCGCACCCCTAAAAGTGGGGCTGGAAACAAAAGTTCCACCCCCGGCGAAAAATCGTCTAATCGTCGAGTCCGTCGGAAATGGACGGAGGAGGAAACAAATGATCTTATCAAGGGGTGTCACACGGTAAGTCAATGCCGCGTGCCAGATTCATGCGCAATGGTGTGATTGACCTCTATTGCCGTTGTTCTAGCATGGCGTGGGGAATTGGAAAAAGGTTCTTGAGGATCCAAGATTTCATTTCAATGGGCGCTCGTCTGTGGATTTGAAGGATAGGTTCGTTGCTGAAATGCTCAACTCTTTGCGCTTCGGGGGGGGGGGAGGGGAGGGGTCTCTTTCCTTTCTAACCATGTGATGAACAGGTTTCGCACATGTTTCCCCAAAGAATACAGAAAGCCTAGTGATCTTGAGTCCGAAGAGGATACCGAGCCAATACCCGGTCCTGCACCGGAGGGTGATACCATTGTCGTTGCCCCCCTACCGCCCAAGACTCCCAAGGTCGAGGGCGAGAGGAGTAGGAAGAAGACTACAAAAACCGAGCTCCACCACGTTGAGGTCCTGGAAAAACTTGGTGTTCCCAATAGCTTTCCTAAAGTTCAACGTCGCGAGAGAAGAGAGTTCACTGCTGATGAAGACGCCCGTCTTCTTCATGGTTTCAATATTGTATGTATTGCGCTCCTTCACTCTCCCCCTCGGGAGGTATCATGCAACCCATCCGACAGCTTGACCGCTCAAAACTATATACAATCAAAGCTAACCTGCCCAGCACGGAGCGGCGTGGTCCAAGATCCAGAGTGACCCCGACCTCCAACTGAGCCACCGTCGAGGAACAGATCTACGTGATAGGTATATTGATCAAGCTTTGTCTTTTGTGATGTGTTGCTAATTGATATAGATTCCGCAACGCTTTCCCGGATCGCTACGAATCAGCTGGGTTTAAAGCTCGTCCTAGACAGCGCCCTAAACCCCCTCGTTCGAGTTCCAATGTCAAAGGCAAGGCCACTGATGCCATCGAAGCTAACGGGGAGTTAGATGATGGCCGTGGGGCGGGACTGGAGGGACCGAATAAAGGCGATAGTGCATCGCTTCTAATGCAGAGCCTTCTCGCGGGTCACCTTTCACCCGGCTGGGGAACCGGAGACACTCCCGTTACCTCCTCCGACCAATCCCCTGCACCCGGAAGTCTTGCCCTGGACCCCGCTCTGAACGAAGGCTTCTCGGGTGCCACCCTTGAGCAAATCACGGAGGAATTCCTCGCCGTTGCCCAGGGGAACGGGAAAGAGCCAGCGCAAGGCAATGGACAAGAGGTGTCCCACGATATGGTTCGCTGGGAGGACATGGCCAACAATCCGATCTTCGACATCGACCCGGCCATGACCGGCAATTCCACCGCTCCTCACCCACAGACCGAAATGGGAAACAAAGAGTCCGTGAGCCTCTCCGGTATCGGCATTGGCGGCAACGCTGGGCCCTCCTCCACTACTGAGAGCGCTAGTCACGACAAGGGGAGCGCGAAGAGGCTCAGCGAGGAGGCCAATCCCGAGACGATTCACAAAAAGCGGCGTATTGCGGATGAGTTGCTGCAATAGCATAATGAACTTTTAAAAGAAGATACGGGATTTCAATGCAATGTGAACTGCTCACGTTTTAAAAAATTTAAAATTTTTTAAAAAAAAATATGGCTAAAATCAGATGTACAATTAACTTGACTTTCTCCTCTTCCAAGAGTCAGCTTCTTCTTCCTCTCCATTCTCTTGCTTCTTTTTCCTATTATCATCATACTTTTTTTTTCTTTTTTCTCTCTCCCTTTCTTCTACCTGCCGTCTGTCTTGGGTGTATGCTTCTTTACTTTCTGATCCTACCCGCTTTCTTCCCTTAACTTATCCTTGACTTGCTTGGATAGCCGCATCATGTTTGGGTTTCTTTACCTTTTTTTTCTCTTTTCTTTTCGTTCTTTCTTTTTTCCTTCCATTCTTCGGTCTGTCTGCGGTAGGTGGGAGTGGCGAATTGGGAAATGGTGTTCTTATCCTGTTGTTATTACCTCCATTACATTTACATTGTATAAAACAAAAAAATTCATATGTGGAACTGAACTTGCAGACCACATATGATACCGCGTGATAATTCATGATTCCTTCCAACTGACAACGTACTGCATTGTACCATAACCTACGGTACCCTAACCACAAGTCCCGAGAACCCTTTCCCCAAACGAAGCTATCACACAATTACATCATACCCAGACACAGCAGATATCGTATCATAATATTATCATACCGTAGTTACGATAATATTATGATACCGAGAAAAACATATCCACCACAGTATTATCCGCCACACAACCCCACGCAATCGTATTAAACATACCAACATCACTTGCCGTAGAACACCCCCGCCAAAAAAAAAAAAATGCCCCCCCAAACCCCTCTAACGCCTTATATCTCCCCTCCAAAGAACCCGCACACCCTAACCCTACTAACATCCCTCCTCGCAAGCCCAAGCAGCTGGCTCACGCACGCCCTTCTGGCGACCCATCTGACATCGGACGCTTCAGTCGTGCTAATATCTCTAACCCAAGATCGGGCGTTCCACGTTGACGGTCTACGGAAGCTGGTCCTTCTTCCCCCTTCCCCTTTCCCCTTACCCTTTCCCCTCCACTCCCAACAACCCCGCTAAACAAGTTTCACGAGTTTACAAAACAGGGAGTACCACTACACCACCTAGACCGCAGCGAAAAGTTCACATTCCTGGGAATCACGGATTCAACTTCAGCGCTGACGCGGAGCTTCTCGACGACCGTGCTGGCAGCCGTCGAGTCCGCCGCGCGGGTGAGCGGTGGTCGGGGGGAGGGGGTGGTGGTCGTGCTAGAGAGTCTGGATTTACTGCTGCAGATTGGAGGAGAAGGGGGTTACGTTGGTGTTATGGATTTGGTTCTTCGTGAGCAGGAGGTCTGTTCTCCCTTGCCCTGCCCTCCCTCCTCTTCCTCTATCCGCTATAACTTGCTGACTTGGTGGACTGGATTGTTGTAAGGTGGCGGAGCACACGGTTGTATCCGTGAACGTTGACGAGGCGCTCATGCGTGATGAGGAGCATGCTGCGTTCGTTATAGGGCTTGGGCATGTTGCGCGGAGGGTGTTTGGATTACGAGGATTGGAGACGGGTGTTGCGAGGGATGTTAGTGGGGTTTTGCGCATCACTGCTGGTGGGGTGGGGGAAGATGAGGGGGAGGGAGATGGGGGGGGAAAGGAAGTCTTGTACTTTGTTGGGGATGGAGGAGGAGTGGAGGTTTTTGAGAGGGGAGAAGTAAGGGGGGTTTAATTTCGTTAATGCTTTCTTCCTGGAAGTGGGGGGGGGATGTCATGTTTGTACACTAGCATTCATGAAATAGAGACCATGAAAAGGCAAGCAAGTACTGTACAGTACCGGTACTGTATGTAAGCTGTCGGCTGGGTAATCGCCAAAACACCAAATAATTGATTATGAAAAAAACAAAAAACAATGAGGTAACAACAACCCAGCCCAAATCCGTTCCCTTTCATTCAGTTAAAAAAAGCCTTCAGCCCAATCCAATCCAATCCAATTCAATCCAATCTCCTTTCGAGCAAAAGATAAAGAGCAGAGGGCGAAAGAGAATCAAAAAATTAACAGGAAAATGATCCCGCCCAGTCAGTATTTCCCACCCACAAAAACCATGCATGCACAAACGCCCCACAATACTTTAGTGCCCATTAAATCGACCAACTCGTACGATCCCAATTCGGGTCTATAGCCGTAAATCATCAGTTTCCACGCTCAATCAATCAATCCCGCGAGCAAGTGAGTCAAGAGGTAGGAGCCCACCTTGGACAAACGACGCCAAAACCTTGCTTCCAGTCTGGAGCAGTGGGTGGCCAACGACAATTTGCAGGAACCTCTGCAACCCTTCACGGCGGTGCTCAATGACGTCGTCGGAGAACCTGTTCGTGAAGACTTTCCCAGGCAAGGGGGGGATGGTGACGCGCGAGGACTCCCGCTCTAGTATGTCGCGGAAGTGTTCAAAGTCGCTGTACCTACGTCGGACGCTAGAGGCTTTGAGCTATAATTATGGTAAAAACGGCAGCGATAGTAATCCATTTAGTTTTCCCATCCCACGAAAAAAAAAGAACAAAGAAAAGAAACGGGTGGGAGAGAAGGCAATTTACCTTGAATGCCGGAATGTTCGTCTGCAGTGGCAACGAATGAGTCAGTCGGCCAGCCAGTCACTCACAAACGACGAAAGAGAGAAACATAGAAATAAAAAAGAGAACATACACGACAAACGACCTCATAATCCGTATACATCTTCCTCCCAAACCCGTGCGTCTGCGGATTTTTGACCTAGAGTAGAACCATACCACGCAAGATACCATCATCAGCCTCATCTCACCTTCATCGGGCAACACAAACACGTGGGAACATCCTGTGGGACAGGAAGGACAAACCTCTATTTCCAGGAAATTTTCTGGAGGTCCGTAAATTTCGTCGAAGCTCTGAGCTCGGGAAGACTGGATCGGGGCTTGCATTCTGTTGCTGTCGTTTTTGTTGCTGTTGCGGTGGTTGGTGGTCGGTGGTTCTGAAGGTTGGCCGTGCCGGGGTGCTATCATACGACTGGTGTTCCTGTGGAGCCGGGCGGGGTGGTATAACGCTAAAGTTATAGGAGGATGAGTGGAGCAAGGGATCAGGGTCGAGACAAAGCAAGTTATATGAAAGGTCACGTGAGTGTGTCTTATCGCATCTGATTTCTTTTATCCATAATATGTATCATTACAAACTTGCCCTTGGTCAATGCAAGGTACTATGATAATATTACGATACCGGTAAGTTATCCCATGTATGATAACTTGAAATTCTATCGAGGAAAGAATACAATCACCTAGACTATCACCTATATTCAGAACCAATTCACCCTTACAGAGCAGAGTAGTCCCTTGCTCGAGTGACTTTGTCCACCGCATGAAGATAATCACAAGTTATCTTGCCTCAATCAATAAATCGGCTATCACCGTTGTCACGCTGTTTCTTCTACTTGCGTTGATTGGATGGTGTGTTGTGCGTGCCGTATCCCACCTCCGTGATGCAGTTGTAACCTCTCGTTAACCCACACTGTAGATAAGTGCAGAAATGACCCAACACACTATCAATAAACCCACTATGCAAGGGTAGGCTAAAAGGAAATGTGGCTCGGCCAAATTGAAAGAACTGAAGAGTGGTGATTTTCCTGTGGTGTACTTGATAGTCGCACATACCTAAACTAAGGAACAGAAAGATGGCTTAAATACAGAAAACTCTGCATGCCTAGCAAACTACTTAGCACGAACATTTAATGGGTGATGAAATGACCCGCATGACTTCTAAACTACCTTGTCCTATCCCCCTAGGTCACAAGGATCCTCCTCCTCCTCAGCCTTCATCCCCGGAGGCAAACAAATATATCTCGCAACAGGAACCAATCTACCATATGACGCCTCCTTCTATCTACTCCCTGACCGAGTGATATATGATGATCTTTCCGCCTTCGTGCCCTTCTCCTTCTCTTATCTGACGCCCTGGGCCTCACTATACCAATTCACATGTGTCCCACTACCCCTATTAGTCTCTGGAGCTCCTTCGCCAAGGTTGTACACCTCTCCCTCACGTGCGCTGTGTCTTCCCCAATCATACTCAAGTTGGTCTACCAAGCTCACATCCTTTGCAACAGTAGGGTGTGTCAGCTACCGCTTCAGATCATTCAGGTGGACACGATCCTTCAATCCACCCTTCTTGACCCATACTAGCTCCTGTGTATTGATATTGTAGAGCCACCTACTCTTGCCATGCCATGCTAGATCACCAAGTGGATATGAACCTTCTCACCATGCTTCAAGCTTGCCTCCGCGGCACTGATCCAAGAGGAACCTCCACAATAGAACTAGGTTTCCTGCTTTCGGTAACTCATAAAGTGGAGCTCTCTGGTTGTTTTCTTGCTTCTCCACCTGGGCCACAATCCTTCCAGCTGCCTCTATTCGTACATGATCCAATCTCACCAATCGCTCTAGCTACCACTGTGCAAGCTCCTCCTCCTTGTCTCAAAGGTCCACCCCTTGGTCCATACTCATATAAAGCACTGCTACCACACACTCCATATCAGATCCGACCTCCTCACCAGGTCCTACTTGGATTGTATCCTAACAGAAACTCAGCTGGGCTAAATCCATGGATGCTAAGGACCTATATATTAATAGCTTGAATGACAAGATCAATGACAAGGTCCCAATCCTCCAGAGGTAGCTTGTTTCCCATTATCGTAACCTTCAGGCTATCCATGAGAAGATTAACATATCATTCCGCCAGGTTAACTGATTGTAGGTGCAACTTCGGAGCTAGCAGATATATGACGGAAAGCTTGCTTAGCATCTTAGCAAATTCTCCAGATATAAAGTGAGCACTGTTGTCCGTATAAACTGCCCTTGGCCAGCTAAACTGTTTCACTATCCCCATTAATAGTGAAACTGCTGATTTCTCCTGACTATGGGGAACTGCCTTGCGAAAGAGAAATCGGGTAAAGTAATCAATTCCTGTGAGGAATATCAGGATCCATGTCACAAATGTGGCTTGGCATGGAAAAGGTTTTCACATGACTCATAATTATGAGTAATAGGTATGTTATTGTTTCACGCATATGACTCATTTGGATCATATGACTTATTATGTTATAAGTTGTTATGTTTCGCACCTGACTCGATTATGAGTCATGAGATGTGCACCTGGCGAGTGTGCCTTGCGGGTATGCCTTATGCATATGATTTATGTTTTGCACATGACCTCGCTATGAAGTCATGGGTTTTACGCATATGACTCAGTCGAGTCATATGACTTGTTTATTGCATTATGATTGGTTTATAAGTTTTTACACATGACCTTCCTCCGAGGTCATGGGTTTTAAGTGTGTGACCATTTTGGTCCCATGATTAGTTTGTTATGATTTGGTTTCACACATGTGACCATGTTGGATCACATGACTATAGGCCAGAAGAAGACTATATAAGGAGGCTGATGCAGCTGAGGAGGATAGGTTCTTCACGCTTTGTTCTAAGTACTTTTCCTCGTCCTCGCTGTCACTTTGCACCAAGCGTTTCTTTTGTACCAATGATGGGCCTTGATACTTTGGATTCTGGGGGAGATATCTGAGTTCACTCAGTAGTTCTGAGGGTTTTGGTGTTGAGGTCTGTTAGTATTGCATAGTGGATTACTTGTTTGCCTCTCGTTTCGTTGCTTGCTGGTTATCTCACGATGCTGGTACTTGGAGTACTTCATCACGGTCACTTATGAGCCCCTTTTGGTAAAATGTCTTCAGCTTCCTGTCTATCGTCTACTTGCAGGTTTCGCGTTCAATTGGGAGGATGGAATATTGTGTTTGGGAGGATCACTTGTATCATTCTTTGGGCCAGCTCATGTTCTTGTTAAGTTTTAATGGAGTCCTTAGTTCTCACAATACAAAACGCCGATGGGTTTTCTTGATGACTGTCCTGTGTCTTCAACTCGTGGTACCGGCTGCATCACCTCTCGGGTGGCGGGGCAGTACCTGCCCCGCCCTGTTAGAAATACCAGAACCCGATACCTAGGAACCACACTAAATAGGGTAACCCCACTCGGAATCGGAATCTCTGGTCTCCAACACCCTCCTCCGGCTCCCTTATGGGGCCCGCTCGTTATCATATATATCAATCTCAGTTGCGTCCTGTGACTATATTACCACAGAATTGAATATGTTAGAATAATACCATATACGTTGTCGCTGTCTGTCCGACAGAATCGTATTCGCAGGTTATATAAGAGGGGACCTTCAGCTAGGTCTGAGAAGTGTAACAGAGTGATTCCGTCAACTACCCAGAGACTTACTTGACTTCAAAGACATGACACCTTGGGCATGGGCCGTAAGTAATGAGACAATTTTGCACAAAGAGATGGTATCAAATGGTAAAGGATCTCTACTAGAGACCAATACATTTACATCCACCAGAAGAGTCTAAAACTCCAAAAGACACTACCAAAGAAGCCAACAAACTTCATGGAGTGTTGTAACTGGGTTTCGGAACATGTTGTAACCATGGTGTGATTCTCAATACTATAATGGTTACTGAAACCTACTACCCAGAGAGCAACCAAGAGTTGCTGACCCAGGGATTAATTACCAATCTGGTGGAATAGCTTCCTATTTGTTAATAGGAAGTCTTCCAGAGAAAATCTATTGGTTGGGTATGGAGTTACAAAGGATCGGAGATAGACGACTTACGACGGTTGTAATGACCACCACCTTTGCCGATATAGCCGCGGATAAAACTGATCATTTTATCAATAGTGAAGACAATTAGAGCCAACTCAGTTCAACTTAAGAACTAGGCCATGAGTCTAAAGACTCTGTTAATCGGGATATTACTATTGGGGACAGTACGTTTCCAAAGAAGAAATATCATAATTACCGAGAAGAGTGTAATGGTTTTCAGTGTCCACAGGTGTTCGCACCTTGGAAGAAAACTCAAGGTTGCGAATTACGATTGAAGAAGTACATAGTTGTATGATAAATAGATGTAGTCCCCGAACACTCAGATGTGGAATGTAAATATTGAAGTGCCTCCCAAGCTTTAGACATCATCAAGCAATGGAGAAGAGACCTTAACAATATAATATTATTTTTATGATTCTACACTACTTTACCTATTTTACTTCACTCCTAGTGGTCATAAACGAAACGAGTAAAGTTCGAGCCTTCCTAGACAATCTCCTTTTACAGAAACGAATCTCGATTGGCCTCGACAACCTTGAAGTCTATCAAATTGTCTCCGCCTAACACGCCCCTCCTCAATACCTTACTTTTCTATGGTGGGAATCCTATAATGTTGTTTATCACGGTTCTCTTGGAGCTTTTGTCCTTGTTGCATTTATGGTAGTTCAGTCAGGTGTCTCCTCCTCGCCTTGGTGGGAATGGCTTTGACCCTGAAAACTCTTAACACCTGGTGCGGTTATTGTTACTGCCTGGGGTGATGTGGGACGATTGGCTGTCCAACACTCACGCTGTCTATGTGCTTGGATGATTCAGTTGTGGATTGTGGTTGATGGCTTCACTCATTACAAGTGTGGCCTACTTTCTGTTGATCTGCTCTTGTTGGTGTAACTTTCTGCTTCATGTCATGTCAGTTGGGGGTGTCTCTAGCCCATTGTTCGGTCTGTGCTTGTTGCCGGACCTTTGGGGCTGGCTTTGGGTAGCTCTGCCTACTCTTTCACGGCTTGGTTAGACTTCAGTTTGGCTGAGCTGGATGGTGTGGCTGGTGCTAGTGCCTTCAGGTATTGGTGCTGCCTCCTTTGTGGCTCCTGGCTATGGCTGGTGGGTCTCACTCAGCTGCGAGGTGTTGGGGGTTAGGGCTCTATTGGTGAGGCCTAGACCAGTGGCTGCCTGTTGGGGCTAGGTATCGGCTATCCCATGGCTATCGGATGGTTGATCTGTCTGAGGGGCAGCGGGGCTGGATGGGCTCTGTGGCGTCTGGCGTGTGGGGCTTGGAGGGGGATAATTAGGGTAGGTGAGGCACCTGCGAGCACCGGTCAGGCCTGCGTCAAGTTGGGCGAGGTCTAATTAAGTGTTTTAA